GATCATGAGCAAGAAATGACATGATGTAGAGGTCCTAATTTTAGTAAAGTTACTTGTGGACTTTGAATTAAGAAAACTTCTGGCATCCTTGTGGCCTTAGCTGTGTAGATCAAAATTGTTTAAAAGTCTTAATGATACCAGAATACCATTAAGAATTTAGTGAACATTCAAAATTACAACGGCACTGAAAAATGTAACTTATGACCGTTTTCAGAGCTACAACTTCCGCAGCATCCCCATGGCCACATGATCAAAATTCAGCTGCTTGGCAACTGGCTCATATTTATGACAGTGGCAGTGTCCCGGGCTCCCTTTCGCGACCTTCTGACAAAGTCACTGTGGAAGCCAGATTCGCTTAACAACCGGGTTACTAACTTATCAACTACAGTGACTCACTTAACAACCCTGGGAAGAAAGGTTGTAAAATGGGACAAAACTCACAACAAATGTCACACTTAACAACAGAAATTTTGGACACAATTGTGGTCATAAGTCAAGGACTGCCTATATAGAGACCTAGAGAAATTCCTATCAGGACAAATAAATCAACCGGGTTAAAAAAAAAATGATTGAGCAAGAGAAGACCTTGTAGGAAAATTAACTTTGTAGTTGCAATTTAGTTATTACTCTTTAATTGCTAGGAGTCTGAATTGGTAAATCTGTTCTCGCCTAGATTATTAACGAAGATGTCCTAAAGCAAACGTGTGATGCTCACCAACTTTGTATCATTTCTGTTTTGCCCCATATACTTGACACAGGTAAGAACAAGACAGTATTTTCCCTTACCTTTGGCTTTTATACTGGCCTCAAATGTGATTTTCTTTTTCTTTTCTTTTTTATGATTTCTGTTAAACAGGAGCTGCAGGTAGAAATGCCTACCTGGAAGTCATGTTGAAAATGGCAGACAAATATAAAAGGAAGATATGGGGGTAAGTTACAGATTACAGCCAGAGGTGCTTTTGGTTTGGGGCAGGGAGGAATACCAATCTGTGCTCCTATTGAAATGAAAATAGTAGCTCAGTGACAGCACAGACTAGGCTAGATTGCTTACGAACTTGGAGGTAGGGGAAGCTTAAGGAAATGGGCTGGTTTTGATCTGCTCTCTTCAGCCCTTTTGCTCTGCAACTTACAGCAGAAACTGGGTGATGCCAGGGAGGTCTGGAAGTGTGGAGAAAAGTGATATTCTGTGGTTTGCTTCGAGATAAAACACTTAATTCTTCTTATCCAAGGTGGCTGTGGACAGAAGCCGGAGCACAGTTTGATCTCGAAAGCTCTTTGGGTATTGGTGGCTTTGGCTATCCGGCCATGGCAGCCGTGAATGCTCGAAAGATGAAATTTGCCCTGCTGAAAGGTTCCTTCAGCGATCAAGGGATTAACGAATTCCTGAGGTAAGGCTGTTTTGTCGGTACCTCAAAGCATATGAACGCTGTGGTGCTTGACGAGTTTCAATTAAAAATAGCGGGGGGAAATAATTGATTTTTATTTTATTTACAGAATTGATTCTGTAACCATGTTTGTTGACTTCCTTTTTGAGCACAAAAAAACCGATCTTGCTCGGGGTATTCCTGAATCCCATCTTTTTTCTACTTACTCCTCCCATTTTTTAAAAAAAATGAAATCTCATGAAATTTTAACTGGGGGGAGGAGGAGGAGGAGGGCCAGTTACCAGTCTCACTCAGTGCTGCTCACTATATAATTCATCACATCAGGCTTATTTATTTGTTTATTTATCCCACCGTTACTATTTTTATAAACAAGGTAGTGATCATACCTACTACTCCTTCCTCCTATTTTTCACAACAACCCCATGAGGTAGGTTGACTGAGAGTGAATGATTGGTCCATGGTCACCCACCCAGCCTTCTTTCATGTCTAAGGCGGCACTAGAACTCATGGTCTCCCAGTTTCTAACCCAGTGCCTTAATTAAACTGGTTCTCAAATGTGAATCCCTAGAGGGGTATATGTTATGTTCTAAATGGTATTTCCATTTCTAGGGAACTTTCTGTTGGACGAGGGTCCACAGCACCAGTTGGTGGAGGGGCTTTTGCCAAAATTAACACAGTGGAGCCCTGGGATGGCAAAGATGGTGAGGTAAGAGAGACTCCATTTTCATCTCTATAGTCATACAGAACTTATTTGGACATTCTTATTTGGACATTTTAGGGTCCATACGTTCAAATTGGTTCACTCTCAAGTCAATTTCTCAATGTTTAGTCAGCCTGATAAATATATACCCTAAAGCCTGTACTCAAAGATCTATTTAGTTAAAACTTTGCTGCTTCTTTTTATTTCTTCTCTTTTCTGTCACCCACCTTATCTGTGAGAAACCACCTTAGTTCTATATGTGGCTCTGTATCTTTGTTCTCTTTTGAATTTTGCTGAAAGCTTTGACATTTGTTTATCTATCTATTTCTGGCATCATTTTATTTTCTATATCCTGTTTGAGCTATTCTGAAATGCTTCCTGTGCAGACTATTTTCTTTTTTTTCTTTCCTGTCCTGCTGATGCAGGTTGCTCACCAAATGTTCAACTATAGCATTCTTGCATTAAGGGTTATAAAGAGGAACTTGATAATAATGCGACTCCTACTTTGCTTGTTTATCCAGCTGCTCAGGTTGCATTCAAGCTTACATAGATTTTCCAACTTTTATTGTTTGCTTAGAGTCTACTTGTTGATTTCTACTTTTTTATAGACAATTTCTGCTCCATTGCTTATTGAAGCCATACAAAATGTCACACCTGGGCTTGTTTCAATCCTGGCTTGCTTAATGAAAAAGAAACCGCCCATCTTGTAGGCAGATAAAATAATAATGCCTTGTTTGGCCAATTTTGAGTTAACTTTGTTGGATGATTTTGCTGTACATTTCTGTACACATTTAGCAGCTTAGATATAAGACACAGAACAGGAATCAAGAAGCCAAAGAGCTGTAAATAAACATGTAACCCAATTCCCTTATCATGTTAAGCCAACATTTGATTTAGCACGCAGTGTAAAACTAGTTATTTTGATTTTAACCATCAGACACTAATCATAGCTTTAATTTTTCTGCTGATTTAAAATAACAGCGATTAGACTGAATGGTGGTGTTGAAACTCCACTTTAATTGTATCACTTATCTGAATGGTAAAAACCGTACCTTCAGGATAAGATTGTGTGTGTATTTTATACTTTTAAAGGAAGATCAGAAAAGCAAATTGCCAGTTGTACACAAACTTAAAAAGCACAAGAGAACATTTAGGTCTGTCTCTTTAGAAAAAGTTATTTAATAGTAACATTGTTTGCTATTGAACAGTATTTTCTCAGCATCTTAGGGGGGTTGAAACTTGTTCTAAGAAGTATGTGATGATATGTGATAAATGCCTGATCAATTCACACTCTGTTGTTTCATAGCTCCCAGCTGAAGAGGATATTGATCTCAGTGATGTAGATCTTGATGATTGGGATACTCAGAAGGATGAATTGTGAGAGCCTGAAGATAACTTGGTTTCTTGAGAGACACTGGGCAGTGGTTGGATTGGATAGAAGAACGTTTTGCATCACACGGATCTACCAGTGGCCTTGTTTGCCAAGAGAGAAACTGTTGGAAACATGGTCATCAGTGAACTGAGCATCTCTTAAGAAAAAATATCTCACAAATTCTATGAATTTTTTTTATTGAGTGAAATTGTATCCGGTGTAGCAGATATTTTGACAACAACACTGATCTTTCATTGAAATGCTCTTGGATGTTTTTTTAAAACTAGCTGGCATGTGGTGGTCAATTGTAACTTGATACTTTTGTTGTACTTAGTTTTAAAATGTGATCTTTTTTCTCCTCCCCCACAGTATAGCTTTCATTTCAATGAAAGAATAAAACAATATTTTTGACTCTGTGTCAGTGTTGTACAGTGTACGGAGAGATCTCCCTTTGACTATATCAGTGCAGTATTTGAAGCCATTTTTGCAATGAATGTTATGATGCTTGCGTGCTCATATTAAGCCAGTCACTTTTTAAATTCTGCTGTTTTGAAGAAGCTATAGTGAAATGTTTCATACAATACTAAGCTTTGGATATGAATCTGGTCTGTGAATTCAGTCTAAATACTTCCAACTGTTATTTTTCTTTGGGGAGCCTGTAGGATTGAGAGAACTTACTCTATTTACTGGTAACGTGTGACAGGTTTTTGATGCACATCTTATCAATTGTATGGGAATCTTTTAAAAACTAATGTTCCTTTATGGTAACTCAAGAAAAATAGTAAGCCGTCTGCTAATTCATGTTGTCTCTGACAAATAATTGTTCTCAGCCCAGAATTATGACTTGAGACTAATTTTAGTATAATTAAATTATAAAGTATAATACTCCTATAACAGAAGACACGATTTCTTTGGAAGAATGAAAAAAAAAAACCAGGGTCAGTATTAAATTCTCCTCTTCCAAGAAGTTAGGCAATATTTCTCTTTTAGAAAAGGCTCAATTTACTCTAAGACCTCCAGGATTCCAGCATCATTGGAGCCATTTATTGGACTCCACTTTTTTCTTTTGGTAAACTACCGTTTGAGGAGCATTGAAGGAGATTTCATCTATGCTGTAACATTGTCAACCAATGGTGGTGAGAGGAAGTGCTGCCCTTTATTCTAATCAAGTTGGATGCTTAAAAGGCCAAACTACTTTCAACAAACCGACAAAATGAGATTTCAAGTTTTGTATTATGTCTGTAGTGATTCAGTCTTCAGTGGAAGGGGAAGCGGTTTCACTGAAACAAGAGAAAATTTTTCTGTCCAGATTTCTTAAATGCTAAACTGAAGCAACAAAATTAAAATGAACTTCCCAAACATATTTCCCTCTGAACTTTCACTGTGTAACTTCTGTGTTGACTGAATTAAACCAATTACAGGTTTATGACTCCAGGATATTTCTACCTTAACTGCCAGATACCTTGATTTTATTTATTTAAAACGTTAGATGATCAGGGGTGTTTTGTAATTACAACAGAATAAATACAACAATAACACAATGTCTTATGAAGCATGTTTTCTAATACAATCAGAAAAAAGCTTCCAGTTTCTTTTAATTCTCAAAATGGGGGGGAAAAGCAACCCGTCTACTTATAGTCAAGCCAAATCAAGGAACTACAGTGATCACTTGCTTAAAATTACTTGGTCTTTCCGCATCAAAAGGGCCACATTCCAATTATGTTTGCATTAAAAACAAAACATGACATTTCATTCACAAATCCTACAATACTGAAAAACAAGTCACACTTGGTGCAGCAAACTAGCTGGAATCGAGAAGGCTGAGGTCAATCTTGAAATAGACATAAGGATAGTAGTCCTGATTGCTTAGCTGCAAGCCAGGAATGTCGACTGAAGTCTGGGGAGAAAAATTTAAAAATGGAGTGAGTTCCTTAAGACTCCTTAGATATGTGCTACAATTTTTACGGAATGTGAGGGAATACTTCCAAAACATCAGGAACCATAGCAGGAGCAAGTACTGTGAAATGAAAGGTTTCAACAAGCGGTGAATACTGAGGTTAATTTGGAAATCCCCAGATTAAGGAAGCTGATCCCCCATTGGAAGTCTCTGGGTCTTCTGAAAACCTCATGGCAAATGTTACAGGAGTAAAATAGGCCAATTTAAGGGTGGGGTAACTGCAGCCCTGGGATTCCACGCAGTACTCTGCTGGGGAAGTATGGCCTTTTTACGACCTGTGGATTTCAACTGGCTCAGGAATTCTGGGAGTTGAAGTCCAAAAGTCATAAAGGGGCCATAATTCCTCATCTCTGCTATAAATGATTTATTACCTTTTCTTCAACAGCCTCCTGATTGGGAGGCAGAAGCTGGTGTCAAAAATGAGACAAGGGGAATGGCCAGAGAACAGACTCTACCCGTTTTGTCCAATGCTTCCCACGGCCCTTGTTTGCCGTCTCCATCCTTAGGTGGGCCGCCTGCAATGGCATACTTACGTCCATTAGGCTGGCTGCCGCTACTTCGTCCAGATGCTTGAAAACAGCATTTAATACTTCTCTCAGTCTCTTCATAGATTTCTTATTAGGCTGAAGTAGCATGGTCTGGAAGTTCACTGGTAATCCATACCTTGAATGGATGCAATGTAGGTTAAAGTGGAAGCAGTAGAATGCAATGCAAGGAATTTTTACTTTCAACTACCCTCATTTTGATTTGGTTTGTGACGAGGAGTTTTGAGAGTCTTAAACTGTGTCAAAGATTATTTATTTTCCTTATTAACTCTTATCACAACATTTGCCTAATTACAATCTGTTTATTCCTGGAATGTTTTAAGAACCCACTCTGCAAGCTACCACCAAACTATGTTTAAAATCAATAAGAAAGTTAAACTGATCAATGTAATGATTGAACTGAGATTGTGATTGGCTTCATGTATCCTATGAAATTTCTGTTTACCTGAGGACAGATTCTGAAAAAACTCTTAGTGCCTTTATATGGATCCAAGCCACAAATGCTTCACTGAAGTTCACCTTCAACCATCTCAACAGAGGACCCTTTAATGAGTAAAATACGGTATCAGACAACAGAAGAACTGTAAGCATAATTTTTTGAAAATTTCACAAAATAATACCAAGCATGTGAGGAGCAATGAAATACACTTTCTTAAATTAAACCCTGTCTTAAATTACCTTTAGATATCATCATGGTCCCACAATACTTAACCCAAATGTCTAATTGTGGTCCTTGACCCCCTCCCAGCAAGGTTGCAGGTAATCTGATTCAGCATCCAGGGATTAAAAAACAACTCCTTGGTAGGAAAAATAGAGTTGGCATAGCGGGAATCTGACATCCATGTGGAACCTGTCACTTGTGGGCTGCAATCCTATTTTATGGCCTTCAGAACCTCCAATTATGCCTCAGGTTCCACTTCTATGTCACTAATATTCAGTGATGGCATGTTTTCATGGGTTTCATGCAAAACAAAGTCTGCGGAGGCTTCAGTTACACATTCACTCCCTCAAAATCCGAGCCCTTCAAAAATGGGTCAAATGTGATATTAGCCAGTGATTCAAGTAACCAAGCTTCCTACAGTTCGTGATGCTACCTCTGGCTGGGAGCAGCTTGCAGAAGAACTAGCCAACCTATTTGAATGGTGTCTGTTGGATTGCATTCTGTTCAGCACCTAGCCGCAGTGTTTCCCAACCTTAGCAACTTCAAGACTTGTGGACTTCAACTCCCAGAATTCCTCAGGCAGCCATTCTGGCTGGGGAATTCTGGGAGTTGAAGTCCATCTATCTTAAAGTTGCCACAGTTGGGAAACACTGATCTAGGGGATAATGATTTCCCCAGGCATTTGGGTCAGGAGATTTATACAATATCTTGCTGTTGTTACTTGGGGGGGGGGGGGGTGTTGGTTACTAGTAGTTGAGAGTGGGGTCAATTTTTATCTGTGGGCACTGGGGCTTGTATATTGTGGGTTGTGTGCTTTTAATCCTTATATGCTGCACAGAGTTATTTGTGCAAGACGGCTGGCCATATTAAACAAACAGCATAACATCCATTCACAGGTAAGACATTTGAAAGTCCTGTTTTTAGAAAATCAAGAGTATTATTCTGCCCTATATATAATGTTGATGAGAGGAAACTGCACTGATTTGTGCTCTGTGTGTATATGTGTGTGTGCGCTCACATGTGCATGCATCTGGAGGCATGTGCGCATCTTTGAGTCAGTGTTGGCTTTGGCAACTGCCTGGACAAGTCACTGCAATTTTCTTGGCAAGGTTTTTCCAAAGTGGTTGGCCCTTGCTTCCTTCCTAGAACTGAGAGAAAGTGACAGGCCCAAGGTTACCCAATTGGCTTTGAGCCCCAACCTAGAAGTCACAGTCTCCAGGCTTCTTACCTGGTACCTTAACCACTACAGCAAACTGGTCTCAAACATACACATGCACACTCCAAATGTTTACAGGTAAAACCAAACCTGTAAACATAAACTACAAACATTATAGCTATATTCAGAATGTGTTGAATGTGGTTCCTTTTTTTTTTTTTTTTTTGGTTTAGCAAATCTAGGTCATTGATTAATTTATGGGCCAATGAGTCATGCGGATTATGGCAATGGATTAATTCAGCAATCAAGTTAAATGTGTGAACAACACTTTCGGATAATGAATTATCTTGGATGTCATCCCAAGAATACGTACAGCATTTCTGAACAAACCATTAATAGTGAGATTATGTGGTAACTTAGCAAACAATCAGCAAATCAGGCACAGAAGTCAATATGGACAACTTGAACGTGTTTACTTACATACTGCTGCTTCTTATCAGAAGCTAACTTCCTCATTTCGTCCTTTTCACACTTCAGTTCTTTCTCATCAAAATAAAATTCCCGCACCATGAACCTTAAAACAAATCAATGTAGACATTCAGCACATGGGCTTTTAGAAAGGTGTTTCCTGCCTGGGCTTTTGAACACAAATGTTTTTTCAAACCACAAGGTACATTTTGAAAACCTAGCTGGGAAACAAGGTACGTTTTGGCTGTGTGGGAGTAAATCAGATTAGACCAATTTTCAGAGCTTTTAGGAGCTCTTGTCATCCTTAATAAGCTTGCTTTATTTTCAGCTCTGTTAGCCCCTGCCGATGCATCAGGCTGGAATAAGTGACTCATTAGCTGAAGTTATGAAGGGTTTTTATTTTATTTTATTTTGCTGTACCCTTCCTCTCTGAATTTAACAGTCATCCTGTGTGTTTGGTTGGATGGAGAGCCAGGGGTCCCAATTCACTCAAAATAAGTGATGATTTAGGCTACAGAGGCACCATTGGAGGTGGGGGTGGGGTCATCAAAAGATTCAAGAAGACGGGCCCAATTGAAGTCCCATTCCTTTATATCAGTGGTCCCCAGCTTTTTCTTTGTAATAAACCCCAAACATCTTTTTGGATGCCTCTCCCAATGGATGCCTCATTAGGCAGCAATCCAAAACATATTTGCAGGAGAACTGCGAGCAGGGGTGAGATTCAAATTTTTTAACAACCGGTTCTGTGGGTGTGGCTTAGTTGGTGGGTGTGGCTTGGTGGTCATGTGACTGGGTGGACATGGTTTGATTGTTATGTTATTGGCTGGGTGTAGCCAACTCAATATCACTCACATCGAGGCACGCATCTCCTCGTCTGGCCTCTCATGACTGGGGATGCTGCAACAGTCGTAAGTGTGAAAAATGGTCATAAGTCACTTTTTTCAGTGCCTTTGTAACTTTGAATGGTCACTCCACACAAGCAAAGTACCAGCAAAGGAAGGGAAAAAAACTCCGGAGAAGTTCCTGAGACAGGAAGTCTAGTCCTGCCAAGAATGTAATAAGGGTTAACGGAGAGGCAGTTTCTGTAAGCAACACCAGAATGTTTCCTTCCTGCCTTCCTTACAGGATTAGGCCAGTAATTTCTTCTAACAACCGGTTCTCCAACTTGCTTAGAATGTTAACAACCGGTTCTAGCGAATAGGTCCGAACTGGTAGAATCCCACCCCTGACTGCGAGTCCAAGCAGGCATTTGTACACTTCCACCGTGTGCCTAAGCAGAGTGTGTATCCCACAGATACCAGGTTGTCTTTGATGATTATGATAGTAATGGAGACTTCCCATCATGGACAGAAGTCATAACGGTCATAAAATAGGTCACCCATGTGACTGATCCAATTTCCATAGCAATTGTTAAGTGAATGCCATGGCTATTAAGGGAACTAGTAATTTGCAATGGGCTGGTTTTGGTGAAAACCAGAAGTTGATGCCTGTTTTCAGCAAAATTGTAAAACGCAGTCATATGATTACAGAATGCCCAAAACAGCCGTTAAAGCAGGCTGGTTGCCAAGGAGCCAACATGCAGCCACATGACTTGGGGAGGGTGTGTGCCTCTCAGAACTTTAGGGTAACAAGTATCCTCAGGGAGGTCCATTGTAAATTTGAACAGTCACTAAGTGATCTTCATAAGTTGAGGACTGCCTGTAATCAGAGCCTAGCCCAGAAGGGGATCTCATGCAGTACATAGAAGATGCCACCGAGAGCGCTCTTCTCTCACTTAACATCATGTGGAAATCTACAAGTGGTGGCGTTACTAGCCAAATTTCTGTTTGTAACCTTTGTGATTCGAAAGAAGGGGCTGTTTCAGGTAACCAAGTCCCTAAATTGTTCAAAGTTTGGGGTTAGGGTTATTCAAGGTTTGATACACAAGCATCAAATATTTGAAAGCAATCAGATGGTTTAAAAAGCCATGCCATTTAAGACTTATTTGTCTTATTTGTCATCCTTTCCTCATTTATGTTCAGTGAAAATACTTGGCTAAAACGGATATTTTAAAACCATCTTCCTCTCTTTTCTATCTCTTCAATGTTGAACCAGATATTCATTTTATGAAAATATTCATTTTATGAAAATATTTATGAAAATATAAACATACATGAATGGCGTATCTTTAATGTAAGATAAATAGAAGTCCATTCATCTAGTAGACGTTCCTCTACATCCTCGAGATTCATGGAGGGCAGAGAAGAATTTGCTGCCACCTCTTCCTGTTCTGCTGATGGAAACAGACCCACCCCTGGATCCAGCCCTGTGCAAATTATTCGAGAGCTCTGATAAATGACTGCATGGATGTGTCTTGTTTCATTTCAGAACAGGAGAAGGAGCCTGAACTATTTTGGCACGAAAGTAGAAAGAAAGCAGTACCTGTTCTCTCTGGCTTTGGTCTTAAAGTCATCAATCACTTTTCGGAACAGGGTGACTGTGAAGAGCCCTCCCTCTGAGTCTTCAGCGATCATCCTGGAAGAATCAATTATGTTGGTCTAGTTATTCTAATTCTGTCCTGCTTTTCCGTGATAGGTGCTGAAGTAATTAACAGTGAGTATATAACTGCAATAGTTAATAATTATAACTTATAGTAAATATTAATTAAGGGATTCAATTACTTCCTCAGCAGTTTCTTAATCTATACAATAATATTACGGTATATATACTCTATTGTTACATAAAGTTTTTTTTATTTCCATTTAGCCACCACCACCACCAAGTTCATCCGATTAACAGAAGGAACTGGGTCCTTCAAAAAAAAACAACAACTGAACACACTTTCCAAACATTGCTACCTACATTCCCCTGACCCGACCCTCCCCTTCCCCCTCCATTCTCCTCCCCTCCTCTTCCTCCTCCCCTCCCCTCCCCTCCCCTCCTCGCCTCCCCAGCGATAAAAAGCAACCTTGTTATTATATAAGAAGAAATCTAACAAAGGTAAAGCTCAGCAGCTTTAATACAACCTCCCTCAGCACCCTTCAAATGCCTTATGCAAGGAGATAGTATCAATATTTAATACTTTTTAAAATAAGAGCAAGAGGTATCTCTTGTCACAGTCTGCCACAATCCAAATTCTTTCTTTTTCAAAATTCCTAGTGGAAGAAGAGGCTCGTCAGTACCTAATCCCATTTAAGTTCTTTCAAGGGTCGGATCCCCTGCAAATATCCATACTTGCATGCTACCTGACTTCTTCCAACGCTTCTGAGCGAAAGGTTGAAATCTGTTTAAGAGAAGCAATACTTTCCAAACGTTGTACTTACTTTGTAGAGCGAGGAACCACCATATCTGAGAGCGATTCATAGTTTTTTTGCCACTGCACATAGCTTGTTCTGCAACAGGACAGATTTTGTACAGCGTCTCTGTATAAACTGCTACTTTTAAGTATAATGATTGTCATTTCCCTTTACAGAAATTCAGAAAAATCTTAATGCCAAGCTGATAAGTGGGGGGAAGGGGGCAAGGTGGAATTCAAATTTTTTTTACTACCGTTTCTGTGGGCGTTGCTTGGTGGGCGTGGTAGGGGAAGGATACTGTAAAATCTCCAGTCAGAGATGGTATTTGCCGGTTCTCCGAACTACTCAAAATTTCCAATACCAGTTCTCCAGAACTGGTCAGAACCTGCTGAATACCACCTCTGGGGCAGGACCGTCTTCACAGCATTATGGGACCCAGGCAACGAAGCAGTGTACAGTATACCTACGACAACTACTCACAGGAATAAAAATGTAAATGGTCGATAAAATTAAACATGTATTTGCATAATATATGTATAATGTGTTTATATGGAAGGGTTGACATACACAGATTAGTATGGGGCCCCTATGTCCATGGGGCCCATGGGCAAGTGCCCATCAGGCCTATGCATTAAGACAGCCCTTGTGGGGGGGGGGAGACCGCAAGGAAATCAATCCTGCGTGACAAGAATGTTCCATTTCTATCAGCTTGAGCCTCTAGGCCAGGGGTCCCCAAACATGGCAACTTTAAGACCTATGGACTTCAATTCCCAGAATTCTGGGAATTGAAGTCCACAAGTCTTAAAGTTGCCAAGTTTGGAGACCTCTGCTCTAGGCAGCCTCTACTGTGCCAAATTCCAAAAGTAACCGAAACGTACTATTCAAACTCTGCCAGGCACCCATTTTACCTCATAACCGAAACTTTTTTAAAAAAACAAGAACTAAAATTTTAGGCCCCACTTAATTTCCAATGGGAGAGCATTGGGCTTCTTGAGCTGCACCTTTTATACTTTTGTTGGAGCCCAGAAAAATCTGGAGAAACACAGGTTGCCCAATCCCCATTCCATTTTTTTTTTTTTTGTCCCTAGGGATCAGCCATTTTCCAATGTAAATAGTTGGTGTTAAAAGGTTTGCATTGCACTCCCGAAATAGTCTTCCCAACTAGGTTGACAAAAGTGGATCCAAGGATGGTGCTGGGCCCAAGATTTGAGAGGTGAAAATTCAGGGTTCATACTGAAATTTCCATACTAGGGCTTGCAGTTAGAATCTGGTCTCACATGCAGGAAGTCCTCTACATATGATTGTAATGGACTTACTATGGTCATATATTGTGATAGTTGTACAATTAATGTGACTTTTTGTTTTGCAAGGGTGGCAGTCGTGAAGTGATCACCTTGGTCATTCAGCGAACCAAAGTTAAGTTTTGCTCAGTTTTGGTAAAACCTGGAAGTGTCATGTTTTGATAAAATGTGGCCATGTAATTGCGGGGAATTGGAAACGGCTGCAAATGCAGTCGTATTCCAAGCACCCAAAGTTCACTCATGTAACTATGGAGATCGGATGTAACCCAGCCGTCAGAACTTTGAAGTCCCCTTTCTGAGGTCTGTCATAAGGGGAGAACTAACTGCATTAGAATCTTATCTACCCTGTTTCTCCAACAATACGGCCTCCCCCAATAGGAAGTCCCAGCATGTTTTATAGGCATGAAATGAAATTAAGCCCCTCCCCCCAAATTAAAGCCTATATTAAAACATGCGAAATGGCGGGGGGGCTTGCCGTTAGGAAGTACTTTTGTTGCACACCCAGATATGGTGCTGCCTGCATTGACCCTGATACAAAGTGCCCCACCAACGCCGAGGTCAACATCCAAGCCGTCGCCACCCGCCCTAAGATGCAAGGAGGGGGGAATTAAGTCACCTCCGAAAAGACGGCCTAGCCATTTTTTCGGGGCTCAAAAAAAAATAAGACCCGGCCTTATTATATGAGAAACACGGTACAAGGATTCCATGATGCTCCTCTTCTCTAAATCTACCTGAGGCAACTAGTAATATGATGACGGAGAGGAAGTAAGATCAATCAATAGTCAGTTCTATTTCAACAGGTTTTACTTTTGAGTAAGCATGAACAAAAGATGTTCTTTGTGTGCCAGCATCCTTGGATTTATATTACGAAGAAAAAGCAGCATTTACAGTTTTCCAGAAATAAAGAAGTCCTCGTTGCAAGCCACATGGTACAGGTAATCCTCAACATACGACCACAATGGAGCCCAAAATTTCTGTTGCTAAGTGAGGCGGCTGGTAAGCGAATTTTGCCCCATTTTCTTGGCACAGTTGTTAAGTGAATCACTGCAGTTGTTAAGTTAGTAACATGGCTGTTAATTAAATCAGGCTCCCCCATTGCCTTTGCTTGTCAGAAGTTCTCAGAAGTTGATCACATGACCCTAGGATATTGCAACCATCATAAATATGAGTCAGTTGCCGATTGTCTAAATTTTGATCTCATGACCATGAGAATGCTGCAATGGTTGTAAGTGTGAAAAATATTCATGAGTCACTTTTTCCACTGCTGTTGTAACCTCAGTCACTAAACTAACTGTTACAGGCTGTGGACTACCTGCATTTTGAATCTCTCATGTGGAATTTACAATATTTGCGATACATCACTTAACAAGCACAACTGGGACCAGCAACTTCATTACTGAGCGACGCAGTCATTAAATAAGACAGGTGACTGCAACACTTATGACCTCACTTCTGTCTGCCATGGTTGTTATGATTGTTAAGTGAAACACTGCATGACCACAACTTGCAATTTTACTGCCAGCTTCTTCATCAATTCTGCTTTCCAGAATCCGGTTATGAAGCAGGCATTTGGCGATTGTGGGACTGTGGGATGATGCAACGGTCATAAATGTCTGACATTGTCCAAATTTTGATCGAGTGGCCACAGAAATGGCTGCTATGGTTGCAAGAATCACTGATAATGTTACTTTTTCAGTGCCATCATAACTTCAAATGGTCACTAAATAGGGCAGTCGTTACGTGAAGACACAGTGTGAATTTGAGCAGAGCTAAGCTGAGAATTTTATTATAGGCACTAAACTCTCAAACCTTGTCCTTTTCCATTAACTCATTGGTTAGTAGAGGACTTTCTATCAATTCATTGCATCAAAATTTTCCTGGCAAAACTGGCATAATAGAGAATTTTCTCTAAAAAGTATTACAACACTTTTTATTGTATTACATAATTAAGCCCATCCCTGGGAAACCCAACTTTTTTTCTTACTTGGGAACTACAACAAGTAGAGTGATGAGATATTCGGAATTCAATACAAAGTCGTCTTTGTTCACTATATCTGTTAACGTACGGGTCAAAAGATTTCCTCTGGGGAAAAAAAAGATAGGAAAAAAAAATCAGTAGAGGATTTACCTACCACTGATACTTTCTAAGTGTTAAGTAGATGCTTAACTGGATGATTAGGAAGAAAATGTTTTCTGGGAATTTTTGGACAAACTCAAAGCAAATCTGGCTATTATATTATGGTAAGCTTAGAGGAAATGGGCACTTTTGTTTACTCTGTTTAAACAGATTAATTAATGCAGACCCACGAAAGAGCTGATTAGAGAGGCAATTTGATGTAATGGTTAAGAACCTAGGCTAGAAACCAGGAGACCGTAAATTTACTCCCAACTTAGACATGAAACCATTTTAGGCAAATCACCTTCTCTTAGCCGTAGGAAGCAGGCAATGTCAACTTGCCGACTTGTCTAGAGAAAGGCTAGAAGTCATCAATATTGACCCAAACACACACACACACACACACAAAACCCACTCCTTGATTAAGCCCAAATTATTTGTCTGTATTACCATATTCCCAATGCAGCTAACATGTTAAGACATCATCATAGGAAGTCAATATGCCAATGCATACAGAAAACGCCATTCATTAAAACTTATCTAAACACATACGCCGTTTTTCTTTCCAGATTCTGAAGATTTCCTTTGATGTTGTTGTAGACAGCAGCTCGGCTTTTCATGTCTGCTTCGATCTGTGTAATTTGCTAAATGTAAAGAGGAAATCTAGCTGAGCAAGGTCCCTTCCAACTCTGTTATTCTATGATGTAATATGAACTCTGCATCCATTTTAAAGTTGAGATAATTCCATACATGCAAAAGTCTACAGAGAACATAGATTCTGTTGTTAGACTTACCAAATGCGTTACACGCCAAAACTAAACTTATTTTCCATTTTAGGGGCAAATTAAATAGATACAGCTGTCTTTCTCTTTTAACAAGAGTCGGATGGGGAAGGAAAGGTGGAAATTGATTTATTCTTGCTCTGTTATGGACCAGAAGAAAATCCTTCCTTGTACTAGGGTGAAATCCCTCATTAAATACACACTTCTAATTCAGATTTACAGAAACAGAAATAAATGCCTTCTCTCTGCTGAAAGCTATGTGACAGACTTGTGACTGCTTCTAAGATAGATATAATATATAATTATAAGCTAAATAGTCTCCTTAGGTCATAGGAGATACTTCTTAGGGTGACGTAGATATTACATATTTATTTTTCCTTTGCCTTGCAGACAAAAATATCTTTGTGGGGAGAAAGATGAGGAAGAAGATATTTACACAATGCTAGAATTGGACAGTGTGGGGAAAGGGCCCAGTTTGCTTTCTGATAAATTTCAAGGTGAGTCAGTAGCAATGATGGGGTTCAATTTTGTTTTACTACCGGTTCTGTGGGCGTGGCTTGGTGGGCGTGGCAGGGGAAGGATACTGTAAAATCTCCAGTCAGGGGTGGTGTTTGTCGGTTCTCCAAACTACTCAAAATTTCCACTACCGGTTCTCCAGAACTGGTCAGAACCTGCTGAATACCACCTCTGGTCAGTAGCCATCGTATCCAGAACTGGGTTCCTGAGAAAGCTGTCCTCAGTAATTAAATACATTAGTAGAACTTATCATTCCTGGGAACAAGTTTCTATAAGGGTGCTTCTCGATAGAGGAGAAATGAGGGAAAACAGTGATTACCTTTGATAATCCTTCTGAAATGTTCTTCAGTGGCTGTTTTATTGGATACTTAGCCATGTCCCATTCAAATTTTGTTAGATAACTAATCAAATCAACTGAAACGATAAAAGTAAATCCAGTGAGCTGCATGCATATAAGAATTATTATGAGAATAAAGTAGTCTTTTTCTCATGAAAACCTGCATCCAGACTAGCTTGCATTGATTTGGGATATAAATTGGGAAGTGTTGCCATCTTGTATTTATTCCCTTTTCTAGATGCTAATCCACATCTCAAGTTCCCCTGTGCCAATTCTTTACAACTTAAAAATAAAGATTTACCCAATTAATTTCATGAAGAGGAATATATTTCTCTTAGGTCTCATCTTGTCAATATAGCTAGCAAATAAGAAAATAAAGGTTTTGATTAAAAGTAATACTGTAGTTAGCTTTAATTTAGGGCAGGTTAGACAATCCATGGCCCACACAATGTGTCACTGCACTGAAATGCTTCACAGCCACAATCAGCAAGATCTGGGGGCCTGAAAGGTGTAGTTCCTATTGGCTAGGGAAAACCATAAAGTCCCCTTGACTTATTTTATTATTTGCTTTTGTAGTTGTAGCTCTCTCCATTTGTGGGTTGGTCTTTTGAGCCAGTTTGGTCCATCTAAAAGCTGTTCAAGTGACCTTTGCTATGATGTCAAAAGTAGCGTGGCGACACTGCCGGGGGGGGGGGGGGGGAGAAATGATCAAGAGGGGGTCCTAGTTTATGGGGCAAGGTACTTTTTAAAAACCACGTTTTAAATAATACATGTGTGCTGGAACGAACAAGTTGACAAACACGCACACAGTTAGAGCTGAAAAAACAGGAGAAAGAACATTTGAGGATGCTTCTAGACATCCCAGCAACTCGTGTAGTTCTTAGCGAGGCCTTAATAATACACAAAAAGGAATTCTTAAGTGAAACATTCTTCACTTAGAGATCCATGTGTGTGAGATGGTATGTCTGTAAGAAACCTGTGGGACTAAACATTCACAATGCATTTGGATACATACACAGTGCAAATCCAGGTGATCTAAGGATGATTGAGCCACGCATAAGCAGGTGTGGAGACCTCTTCCTCAGTGGATAGTATGCCTCTTTCAAATGCCTTCAACAATCCCCTACCTTTGTGGTATCAGACAGGCTCCCTTTTGGTATCTCAAAGTCTTTGCTTCTCCTAGAAAGAGTCACCTTACCTTCTTATATTTCCTGGGTGTCGAAAATCTAATGTGCACATCAAGAATTAAGGACTTGGAGACCTGAAATCAACAGGCTTCATCTTTAGCCTCCTTCTATAAAGTATGTATGAGACAGCTCAGTAGGAACATACAAGAAGCAAATGGGACTCCTTCCAAAAATGTTTGTAAAATTCCTAAATGCAGAGTCCGGTGTTAAATGGTGCATCGTGCTAACTGGCTGGCCCTTTCCTTTGCCTTAAACTAGGGATGGCGAATCTTAGCAACTTTAAGACTTGTGGACTTCAGTTTCCAGAGGAATTCTTCTGTTGAAGTCCACAGGTCTTAAAGTTGCCATGTTTGGATACCCCTACCATAAACCTTTCTGCCTCGCTCCTGAGTGGGGAATGAAATGGATTTCAAACAGAACTATTCCACCATGCAGCACTTTATTATAGTTGTCACGTATCTTATTTTGGAATCTGTTCTTCTGTGCTGTTTTCTTCTGAATAAACCATGAATGCAAATAATATGTTACAGCCCAAGGTCACTCAGCCGGCTTTCGTGGCTAAGGCAGGTTTAGAACTCACAGTCTCCCTTACATTATGATTTAAAATATATAACGTGAGTTTAGTGCTTTTTTGAAAGGACACCAGTCCTGTACTGCAGAGGAGGAAAAGAGAACCAGGTTCTGCCAGCCATGTGCTCTTACTGTCACCAGTAGGTACATTAAAAGCTTTCCATTGGCTGCTGCTGACAAGAAGGCTACAATAATAGTTATCTCCACTGGCCAATGCTCCCAGATCATTTTATGCAGCTTCATTTCTTGTGACTCTTGGCACACCGCATCACAGATACATATGAACTCCCTTGGTGGGAGAGGAAAGGATAGTTTATTCCTTTCTGTTTTGGCTTTGGCAGCAGCAGTTGCCTTGGTGTTATGATTATGTGCAGACCATCCAGAATTGTGTGATTCAGGAAGCCAGTTACTGCACACATGTTCTGCATGGTTGTCTCTTGGTTACTGCCAGATGCTTAAAATGGAAAGTGACTTGCTGACAGCATCACAGCTCCATTCTGTTTCACTTGTTACTTGTCCTCTATACTTGTGGATCCAAGCTACCTTTGTTTAGCATTTTTTTCAGAACACCTTACTCATGTTCGGAAATGATCTGACTGATAGATATAAACGATCCAAGGAGCTTTGGCAGAGGGTCCCTCTTATGTCTCCCCATGTCCCAATTCCATATTTTTACAGGTAGTCCTCGACTCACGACTATGGTATTTGTGTAACAACAGTCCAGAATTACTATGGCTTTGAAATGGCGCTTTATGGCCCATAAAGCATTTCCAACTGTCATAAAACATTGCTTGGCACCCTGTTTACATTTTGCAGCCAGTTGCCAAGCACCCTTCAATCATGTTGTCACCATTTGAAGTCTTCTCAATCGACTTCCCCAGAAAGTCACTGGGAAAGCTAGCAGGGAATATTGCAAGCTGCTACTGCTGCCTGCCTCTCACCTCTGGGGGCTGCCTGAAAGAGCTGCCTGCCAAGAGGAGCTGAACTTCTTCAGCAGGTGCAGAAGTGGAGCTGAAATCCTTAAGATTTAAGCACTGTTCCTGCATCCCACTGAAGGAGTTCCCTTCCCTGCATGGAAGGATGCTGAAATCCTCCAGCAGGCAGCTAGCTCTTTCAGCCAGCTCCCAGAAACAAAGGGGTCCGAAATCCAACCAGAGAGCAGAGAGGCAGTGTGGTAAGGTAATGAGCATGGGATATTTAAGGCAGGTGCAGGGAGTGGGTGGGCTTTGGAGGCCTGACGCTGGCTGTGAATGAATGTTGCTTTATTCAAAGGCTGAACATCCGTTTTGGATTTTGGCAAAGGAGATTTTCAGCACCTGAGTGGAGAGGCAGAACAGTGAGGAAACGAGCTAATGATGTCTCAAGGGATGAGGGAGGCCCTGAGAGATAAACAAGTTTATTTCATGACCGCAACTGAAAATGCTGGGATTGCATTCATTGGGCAGAGCAGTCATCTTGGGCATCTTGCTTAATGACCACTTCACTCAACAGCTGATATTTTGGTCCCAGTTGTGGTCGGGAGGACTAATTGTAAGGCAACTTCCTAGTGGGCTAATCTGCCATTCTAACCAATCATCTAATTCTCCCATCCTCTCTCCCTACCCGTGAGGGAAATAGATTGGTGACTGTTTCCTAATCAGCAAGCATTGCTTGGTGGGCAGGAAATGAAACAAGGGGAATCACCACTTCCTTTCCTTAATATGGCTACAACAGATAGATAAGGAAAGTACCAGGAGCCAGTGAGAATGTAGATTGGCAAAGATTGTAGATTGTTGATGCCAGGGTGGTGTGCGTTGGGGTTTTTAATTTTTTGTTTTCCCCTTTAAGGACTAATGAACAACTCTCACCTGTCAGGAAGAGTCTTAGATACAGGTAGTCCTTGACTTAAAATCATTTCTTTAGTGACCATTCAAAGTTACAATGGCCCTGAAAAAAATGATTTATGACCATTTTTGACACTAATGACTGTTGCAGTAACTGATTCATATTTATGACTGTTGCAGTGTCCTGGGGTCATGTTATCTTGCAAGAAAAGTCACAAAGGGGGGCAAAATTCACTTAACAAATTTCTCACTTAGTAACATAAATTTTGGGTTCTATTGTGATGGTTAAGTTGGACTACCTGTATACCAGACCCCAGGCTGCAAAATCTAAATAACCACTAGATGGCAGTGGCAAGCTATATTTGCTGCCATTAAACTCCCATCTGAATTTTGACAGTTTAGATGAGTAACCTGAACTAATTAATCTATTCAATAAAAACTGCAGTAACTTGTTTTACACACTGAAGAATGCCCATGATACAATTGATTATAAGAAAACAGGTGCATGCAAAAAGTGTCACACACTCCAATAGTCCCTACAGTTCCTTTCACTGTACATGCAGAGTAAGTTAAAAAAGAAAGAAAAAGACTGAAGGAAAGGAAAAACCAAGTAGTATAAAGGATGCAGGCCTGCAGTAATCTGAGTCATAGGGAGATGGTGATCAAGCTACGGGGTTGTAACTAGAGAAATCCTTCGTAACCTGATCACTGTACCCCTACAACCAGATGTGGGCTCGACTCTATTATTAAACACACTAGTGCATGCTGGCCAAGACACATTGCCACCCAAACACAACATACCCTTTAGACATTTCATTTTGTCCTTTGCGCCTGAAATATAGTAAGTGCAATTACTGATCTTCAAAAACGCCCGACTTAAAAAGTAAAGTTATCGCTTGGCAAAAGATGTCTGCCAAAGAACAGAATTCCATTCTGGTTTTATGCTATCGATAGACATTTCAACAGTTCATTAAAGGTGGTTTTCAGTAGGTTGCACAAAAGCTTCTGTACATAGGTAAGAACTAAAGCTGAATTTGGAGCAATTTGCATCTCACTTTAGCCTGTGACAATTGCAATGTTCTCAAAACTGTCATTTTAGCCTGAGTTGATTTTCTTCTCCCTATCTGTTACATTTAACTTTTCCTTGTGCTAAGTGTTTCACTGCTGACTGCCATTTTAAAGGCTTTTCTGAATCATTAGAAATAATTAAATACTTTGTGATCTGTAGAATAGAACTGTATGAAATTGTAGAGTAATAGCCACCTCTCTGGAAATTGAGACACCTTGTAAAACAATCACAATTCGTTAATCATATAAACAGTGAAGAAAAAAATAATTTCATCCATAACTCACAGCATATAGAGTGACAGGAATTTGTCCTAAAGCTAATGAAAAATGCAAGCATTATTTTCTAAAACTAGAAGCACCATCTAATTTCCTAATAAATGAGCATGTAAATTCCAACGGTTCTTACTGGAAACTGAGTGAAAAACAACAACCTGCATCCAAACACAACAATATATCCATGATTTCAAGGCCTACCTCCATTAGCCAGCAGGTTTTCTTGTACTTTATCTTTTGAATCTTCTAAAACTTCTCCAATATACTGGGCAATTTTCTTTATTACACTTCATATAAGAATAAAACAGCAACATTTTAGTTTAAATTAATTCAAGAATCATGAAATAACTTTACAGATAGGTAGTAAAAACCATCGCTTTCACAGACATTAAGGGGAGAACCAAGGTGTGGACAGAAGTGGACAAAAGACAGATCAGTGATGGATCAACAGGACGTTTCATTAAGAACAAAGGGAACTGGGTATTTTTTAAAGTGTGTTTGGGGTACTGTATTAAAGACCTGTTGAGTTCTGGTACTTAAAATAAGAAGATAAGCTTTTTTTTTTAAATTCTAGGTGCATGATCTTCTGTTATTTTGCACCCAATTCTGATTGACGGGCTAACAATTCAGTCGTATAATTTCTCTATGTTACGTATCCCAACTGCTACTGGGTGTCAAGAAAATAAGGTGTGGCTTGTTCAGGAAGAGGAAGAAGCAAGCCTAAAATCAGAGTGTAGTTTGTGTTAAACTGTAGCCTACAGCAACCATGAATGGAGGAAGCATTGCTGAAGCCCCTGGGATCCACAGATGCTCCTTCAGATTTGTGCATGTAATGGAACACTGATGTAACAGAATGGGGAAAAGTCCAAAAATGCTTCCTCCCACATAAACATATCTAGAAATGAACATTAACCTGCTTTTGAAGTAGTAAGTTTTTTCACAGATTTCCCAGGATTTTTATCTTTATTCTATATCATTTTAACTTTGCTGAGTATTTAAAAATAGGTTTGCAAGCAGAGCGTGCCATCCGAGATGGAAACAGCTCAAGAATGGAATGATGCAGAGAGCATCAGAATGCCACAGGCTGCTTCAGAGTGACATGGAAAAATACTCTGCCTCCTTGTGTAAATAAGTAATAAAACTGCACGGAAACAAGAGACCATGAAAACTCCTGCCCCTTCCCTGCTACGCTGGTCAGAAGCAGTGCCGACTGGTTTCTGCTGCCTAGCTAGATGTACCAGCATTTCTTGCATATGTTGATCTAATAACAATTCCACGAACAATCTTCTTCCCTGCAACTATAATATAAATGCTGAGTTCATTGGCATAGCTTTAGACCTATTCTCTCTTTGTCCACGGGCTTCAGTATCTGTTGCATTCATTTTTATAACATGCTAGTCTGATATATAATTCTGCTCTCTCATCAGATGAGCTTCCTCATCAGATTGTCAGCTTCTTCTATTAAAAAAAATGTCGTTAATGGAAATGTGGGTTTAAATCTCAAGGCAAAAAGTTTATTATTTATGAGGCATCTCTGCAGTTGCCCCTGCCCTTTGGAAAATCTTGGCCCCAGTCAAGGCAAGCCCACCCCGCTTCCTGGTTTTCCAGAAAAGAATTAAGAACTGGCTCTTCTAATTAGCATGGGAATGTAAGAGTATGATGTAATCTTGGGGGTGGCTGGAGGCTTGACGATACTCCTGTTGCCTCATTAACCATTTTAGCCTTTAAAATTTTAACTTTAATTTTTTTAAACTTTTAACTTTTTTTTTACTTTTAACTTGTAAGCTTTAACTTGTATTTCATTCTGTTTTTTTTTTTTTTTGGCTGTGCTTTTTATTCGGGTGTTTATATTGTTCTATTATGCTATTGTAAACCGCCCCCCCCCCCCCAGAGGTACCTAGGTGAGATGGGTCATGCAGAAATGTAATACATAAATAAAAATGAAAATATCTGCATGGGGGGCAAGAGATTAAATGTGCATCCCAGTGCGGGAACCCATTTCTTGGAGTTTTGGCACCACCATGGTTAGGAATGGATGTCTATGCATAGAGCAAAGTTGAATTATTTAATTTTTGGTGACCATGATATTATTAGCAGCCTGGTGAGAAAACAGATGGATTCTGAGAAACAATGTCCCACTGAGGAGCACCAAATCTATTCCTTAATTATAGACCTGTGTGTTCTGCATTTTTAAAAAACATTCTCAAGCCCTCAATAAAATACACAGCTTCATACTTTTAACCTTTCATCCAGATGCAAGGACCAAGAAAACAAGGGGGAAGGATTCAAAGGCGCTTTTGCAAAAGGTAACTGGAGTATGTTTTTTTTTTTCTCTTGAAGAAAAAAAAAAGATGTTTCACTTTTCATTAGAAAGTTAATCAATTCTGGCTGGAGGGTGGTAGGTGGTGGGGAATGGAAGGATTAGGATAACCCTTCCATTCCCCCACATCCAGCCAGAACTGATGAAGCTTCTTGAATGAAAAGCAAAATGTCTTTTTCCTCAAGGGAACAAGAAAAAAATATATAATCCGGTTGCCTTTTGAAAAAGATCCTCTGAGACAACCATGACCTGTTTGATTGAGGGGAAACATAGACAAAAGGGGAAAGAGAATTGGAAAGTGGGCATTTAGAAAAAGAAATGAGAGAAAGTAGGATTTCTAATCTTTCTTGCCTGTTTGGCTATGCTTTTCAGTGTAAAATGGGAGAAGGGGTGGCCATCCCAAAAAAATCCAACCTTTGTTCCAGGCTGCCAAATCCCACAATAGCGTTTCAAAAATACACTTCATTTTCACCCCTATATCTTCTTTCCCAAATTCTGGGTTGTGTGTCTTAGTAGTCCTCCTGTGTCTCTATTACCAATATAGGAGGACTTACTATTGCCAATGTGGGAGAAAATGTTATCCCTGATTGATTTTGGCTTCCTCCAATATAGGAGGACTTGCTTCTGGGTTGAGAAATAAACAAAGAAGACCATCCTTCAGATATGTGAAGTCTAAACACTGAAGACTTTTGGGGCGGGAGAGGGCAGATTCAGAGAAGATTTGGCGCCAGATGGACATCTTTCCAAATAAAACAGAACAGAGCTATCTAGATATTCTTAAAAGTATGCAAAAATACTATTTCCTACACATCCCCCCTCCTCCAGCCTCTGGCTCATCTCTGTAAATGGCTCCTCAGAACAACTGCATAGAATAGACCAATTAAGAGACAGGGACCATTTTTCATAGGGACTTGCTGATTACGTTGAGGCGAAGCTCACTGCTTCTCTAGATTTAAATATATTCGATTCAAAATAAAACCAACTCTTCTTTAAACAGAATAAAGCCAAACCTGCCTGATCTGGCTGACCTCTAGGACCAAGCTTAAACAAGTCAGAGTTAGGTTCAGGCAGGAACCCTGTGACCTGGAGAAACAACTTCCATTTGTGTTTGTGTGCAGTAAATAAGTTCTATTTTACCTTTCAGCAAAACTATCGACTTTTCCCAACTCATCTGAGAGGCCAACCAGCGTGTCCAGAGTTCCTACCTGTAGAAGGGAACACAGGAACTTTAACACAAACAGAAGAGCTGCACAACTGTTTTACCAGAATGATCCTTTTTTATTATTTTTGACACAAATGATCCTTTGTATAAACAAAGTATTAAGGCACTCGGAGGAAGCAAAAGTCAATCCAGGAGAACATTTTCTGTCAATGGAAAAATGGCAGAAATGTCTCCTCTTCTATTCTAAATAAGGAAAAACTGTACGTTATCATGTGATTATAAATCCACTTCTATAAGACTTCTTCCCTATTTTTATTCTTGGTGTTCCTCAGCAGCTTTATTGCTCAGTATCTTATATAAGAAATCATAAGGCACTGAACAGAATATATATTTTCTTGCCAACTTCAGTCGGAAAAAAACATTTAAGCCTTAAGATGGGAAACCTTTACTTCATTTATATATAATGTGAGCAGAAACTGGTTGCAGCAAATAAATCCATTGCATCTCTTCCTGAAATTATTACACTTTAAGATTCCAACAGTGAAGGTGGTTCTCAGATATCAGCCAGCGCTTCGATCATAGTCATATTATTAATCCCTATATTTTTTTTATGTCTAGTACTTCACCAAAATTAGCTAACATGTTCGTGCAGGATGATATTGAATAAGTAATTTAACAATTCCAAGCTCTGTTAACCATGAGAAAGTTTACACAGCCAATTAAGACTTATTTGGAATGGACATGCTAATGGCATCGGTAGCACATTATGATTTATCAATTATGGTAAAATTGACATTATGTGGGAAATTATAATTCCCACCCACCCCAGCTTCCTTGCAGACACTCATTAAATTGCTACGCATCTTCATTCAAAGTGTGTATGCCCAATGAACTTTATGGTTCCTTGAGAATTAGGTCCCATTGTATTCATTCGGAGTTATTAGTTTATTAATGCTACAATTCCAAGTATGTTTATTTGTGAGTAACTTCTACTTAATTTGTCTCTATATAAGATATAGTATGGCAGAGTTCTACTTGGATTAATTGGAATTTTGACTATTAAGGATGCTCATAGATTGTTTAACTTACATTCTTTGAGATTTTCTGCGAACGACAGGCTTGAGTAGAACCAAATTAAACCTCCAGATTTTTCTGCTAGCAATTAACGCACTGATTAGTAATAATGGTGCATGCTATTCAAGAACTTCAGAGAGCAGCAGAATTACATATATTATTTAGACTAGTTTTCCCTGTACAGAGACCCATTCTATTAAAAAAGAAGAAGAAATATGCTTGATCCCTGCCCTGCTCTTGTCTTGCTCTTTCTCCTGCTCCCCCTCCTAGCTTTTCATCCCACTGTTTACCTTGAGGTCAGGGATGGCGAACTTGCTGTTGCTGGACAGGTTGGCTTTCGAAGTCACGGTATTCATTCTGTCCCAGGCAAGCAAATTTGCCTTATCCCCTGGAGCTGAGATTAGCCAGAACTCTGACATGGTGGAAAAGGATCCTTGAGTACAAAATTACTATAACTAAAGAAGGAAAAAAAAACCCAAGAACACAAAAATAGATCAGCTAAAACTTTAAACCCATTTAAAAAAAATTAAAAAGGTATTGGTATATCACTCCATACAGGGAAACATCCATCACCTTTTCAATCCAAACCTAAAATTAAATGTGACCTTCTCTTCAATGTCACCAACAGGCAGTAGTTCCTCTTTTCTTCCCCCTCCCTGCCCTGGGTTGTTTTATCTTGTTAGTAGGGAGGAGTTTTTAATAGTAAGGGTGCATGTGCATGGAGCTATTCACAGTTATTTGCAGAAGTAATAGGCTGATCTGTTCATTATTCAAATCCAAGGAACATTGTATGAGAAGGGTGTAAAGAGGTTAAAACATTTTCCTTCTCCAAACTAGGTAACTTTAAGATGCATCTCCCAGAATTCCCGCATGTTAGCATAAATATTCTATATGTTTTTGTCCTTCATTTTTATACTAGAAATATCAAAACAGATAACAAAAATCAACTTCATTGTAAAAACCTAAAGGGTAGGCAGTTAATCCATATCTGTTGTCATATTGGCATGACCATGGTGTAGATTTTTTTTTAAAAAATCAACTTTTTAGAAACATTTGAACAATGAAATGTATATATAAAATTACTAAGGCATTATGAGAAAGAGTGCAGAAGAAGCAGTTTTCTCCTTCTGCATTTCATATATGAGCATCTATGATCATTTTCATCAGTTTTAAAAAAGATAAATACTACCTACATTGAGCTTGACTCCTGGTTATTAGATGGACACATCTACATTGATTGTAAGGATACGGAAGGTGTTTGCCACAGTTATCTTTTGGGAAACTTTCAGTTTTCCAACCTAGCCTTCAGCCCTGGGATTTCCTAGTGGTCTCCTATCCTATCCTTAATCAGTCCCTTGTCCACTTAGCTTTTTCAGAGAAGTTGGAGGCTGTCACCTGCAAAGACTGCCCACTACCATTAGGAACGAATTAGGCTGATACTATGTATCCATGTTTTAACCCAGAAAGATCATTAAAAAAAAAACAGAATGTGCAACCAAAAGAAGGGAAAACGGTTGGCTACCACTTTAATCGGTGTGAAAAGTGATCATCATCAACGTTCTTCAGTTTCTCCCTTCATCATTTGATCTTCTAATTCATTTAAGCAATTGGCCTTCGAATGCTGATTCCAAGGCAAAACGGGCACCTTTCTAAAACGACCTTCCTTTTGCCTTTCAACGCAAAACAACCACAGCATCCTAAAAATAATAATAATAATAATCACAAAATTAGGCTTGCGATCAGCTTTTATTGGGATGACTCACACGTCTACTTGGATGTTGAAAGGAGCTCAAGACGGCTGGGCGAAAATGCCATTCCCCACCATCACTCCGAGCTGCTTTTCAGAAACAGGAACAGTAAACGGCCAGGCTCAACGACTAACAAATAGCGCGTTCTGTTCCCACGACGCAGCGCCGGCCTCCGAGCGGAATCAAATGGACCAAGGGGTACCAAAAAAGAAAAGAAAAAAGCCCACCGAGGCCGATCCGATCCCATCATTTCGTGTTTCGGGTCTCCTTTCCAAGCCGGCGACGCAACGCGCCCCCTTCCCAGCAGCGCAGCAACCGGCTTCTCTAAGGAGGCGTTGGGAAAAGTTTCCCACCGCTTTACTTACCCCAAGCCCTCGGGAGAAGCGGCAGGTGCTCCTTCACAGTGTAGCGGCGGCTCCGTCCATCGCCGGCAGCAGGCGCAGCTCTCAGGGGACGCCGGAGCGGAGGAATGGACTTTGTAGGGCACGGAGCCACTGGCGGCTGGGGCTTCGCTTTTGGCAGGAGGGAGGGGAGGGGAGAGGCCCACCCCGCCGCCTTTCTCTGGCCGGTGGCGCTTGGGGAAGCTCCTCCTTGGCCTCCTCCTCCTCCTCCTCCCAGTTATTTGCGTGGTTCAGATCTGGAGGCTCAGGGAGGCCAGTCAGGCGATGGAGGCGCGCACACGCCCAGACAGGGAAGCTTTCGAACTTTTTCAGGGCTGGCGCATAATTTCCCTTCCTTCCTCCCTCCTTCCTCCTTCCTTCCTTCCTCCCTCCTTCCTTCCCTTCCTTTCCCTTCCCTTCCCATCACTGCCAGTCTCAGAGGTGCCACTATGCCGCTTTGGTACATGGTTGAGATTGGTTACTTCTTGCAAATTTTGAAAAGATCTGAGCCTCATATGAGGTATTAACTTAGATTTTTCTAAATTGCATCTTAAAAAAAAAAAAAAAGCATTGGACTACATCCTATCTATCTTTCTGTAACCATGGTTCTCTGTCTTTGAAAACAGACACTGAAATAATAATAAACATTGGGTTTGTACATGGAAATGGGATTATGAAAACTCTCAGCCCAATATAGCAATTCACATAGTGCCTCTTCTAGTTTCTCCTAAAGAGCCAAAATATACCCTGGCAGCCTTTCTTCTCTATCCCATTTCCAAAAGGTGACCTTCACCTTACACCCCCCTCCCCCAAGAGAGACAGGCTTCCCATAGTTAACTATGCCTTTCTTCAAACAAAATTTCTCTTCTCAAACAAATTACCTTTGCCTAACTCTAGCTGATAATTAAAATTGCATCATGATATAAATTATAGTCACTGTTGTACCTGACGTGCCTAGTTTATTTTTTTATTTTGTGTAACGAGGACATTGTGTAAGGAGGAAATCCACATTTAAGTAAAACTTCTCAGAATTTGGATCAAAGGATTTTGCACCTGTTGGAAGCAATATCCTTCTGGGTTCCGTTCCAAGTGGGGAAAAAGACACTGGAAACATGGAGGCTGTTTGGGAAGATGGTTTAATAGTGGACAGGACCACACGGCTTGGAGCTCCTGGGCGAAAAGGGCAGAGATGCCGAGAATCCCTTGGTTTTACACCCTCTGTTGGGCCCCACCTTAGTGTTTCCTGTTCCTGTGTAAGAAATGGCTGTCAGACTCCCAGGGGCGGTGGGGTCTTAGCTAACTTTGTAGACTTTGTCTGGACCACATGGCTTCACCTGAGTGCTGGCTAATGCAATCTTCCCAGATGGTTAATCCTATCATTTCCTGGGGGCCATGTCTTAATCCCACCACCCTGGAGCTGAAGGGGGGGCAGGGAGCTGCAGGGAGCTGCTTTGTCTTTAAAACATATTTCTCCTTTTCTCATCCAGGGAAATATAATATTCTGTCTTTTTAATATTTCCTAGAATATTTCATTCTTCTAGGAGAGGGGTGGGTGCTAACTTTCTACACACTCCTAGTGAAACTAACACCACGGACTTCCAGTTTTGTGAATGTATATTAATCCCAAATAGTAATCTATGACCAAAGGGTTGGTGACAAACTCAGGTTGTGTTTTTTTTTAAAAGTAAAGAATGTATATGCTATTCTGATCTAATTCTGTTTGGAATAATGTGTGTATTCTATCTGCCAGTTTTGCTCTCAATAATTTTGTGTTGATGAGCTGATCTCATGGCCATCCGAGCAATAAATCTACAGAAACTTCACTTCATATTTCTGCAACTTGATTATAAACAGGAAGTTCAGGTGATCTGGCTCAATAAGTTTTTTTTCTTGCAGAAAAATCAGAAATCATAAACACAAAGAAGATCCGCCTATTGCTATATACAGAAATCAAGCTCTGTTCTATATGTCTCATCCAATATTTAAATTCTAGGTCATTTTTTCATCCTTTCAGGTAAAGTGAAATTTGGATGTCTTTTTTGTGGTTTTGATGCAGGGATGCATTTGTTTAATAAAGATTCAGTCTAGTTTGAAAACTAGTGGTTTCCAGTTCACCAATTTCAGTTCTTAACAAATAAAACATTTAGTAATCTATTTCACTATTTATTTCAATCAGGGATTAGGCTTGTTTTGGTACTTAAAATAGAGGTTTTCCTGCAGAATGACCTTTACCTAGAATACAGCCTTGTTGATTTGCCTGGATGTTTCAGTTTATTGCAATGAAATTTTTATGTGGTTACTTTTAAGATGCTGTAGAAGTTTCATTTACTGTATTTACAATATTAGAAAGGAACACAAACACACATTAAGACGATCCACTCTTAAAATAAAGAATAGACAGAAATAAGAGCAACAAAGATAATTAAAGGCCTGGAGTCTAAAACATATAGAATGGTTACAGGAATTGGATCAGAGGCGGTATTCAGCAGGTTCTGACCAGTTCTGGAGAACCAGTAGCGGAAATTTTAAGTAGTTCGGAGAACTGGCAAATACCACCTCTGACTGGAGATTTTACACTATCCTTCCCCTGCCACGCCCACCAAGCCACGCCCACAGAACCCGTAGTAAAAAAAAAATTGAATGCTACTATGGATATGGTTAGTCTAGAGAAAAGGACTGGAGGGGACATGATAGCAGTATTCCAGTATTTGAGGGGCTGCCACAAAGAAGAGGGGGTTAAGTTATTTTCCAAAGCACCAGAAGGCAAGACGAGAAACAATGGATGGAAACTAATCAAGGAGAGAACCAACCTGGAATTAAGGAGAAACTTTCTAACAGTGAGAACAATTAATCAGTGAAACAGCTTTGCCTTCAGAAGTTGCAGATCAGGGCTGTCAAACTCCTGGCCTGCAGGCCAGATGTGTCACATGCTAGCCATGCCCACGCCTGGTTTAGCAAAGGGGAGAAAAGTCCCAATACATCACATGACGCCGCTGTGACGCCGTGAGTTTGACACCCCTGTTGTAGGTGTTCCCACAAGAAGAGATTCGGCAGCCATTTGTCAGAAATGGCATAGGGTCTCCTGCTTGAGCAGGGGATTGGACTAGAAGACCTTCAAGGTCCCTTCCAGCTCAATTCTGATTGTAATTGTAATCAATTTAAACAGAGACAAAGATTCTCTCCAGTTAGCTCCCCACATTATGAACTTAGATATGCTAACATCAGTTAATATCAGTTTTCAATTTACGGTAGTATATCTAAAATTCATAATGTGGGGAGCTAACTCTGGAGAGAATCTTTGTCTCCATTTAATGTGAACTTAGATATTCCCTCATTTCAGTTAAGCATACACGGGATGCTTCCACGTCATGTATGTACACTTGTCCATATGCCATTCACAAGGACATTAAAAGAAGGAAAAATTAATTAAGTACTGATCAATATTAACAGCTTAGATGCCCTATTTACAAAATCCCCCAAATATATACCCTAACTATTCTCTTTCATATATGAAATACATTCATGGAGAAACATGCATACTCATTGCAACAAGGAAAGTGATTATAATAGGATAGTACCAACATAATTGGCCAGTTTAATATGATTTTCATGGGTCCCTATTTCATTTCTGGTCACAATTCTAGTGCTGATTTTAATCCATCAAGCTCTTATAGCTGAAGAAACACCTCTTTGTACTTCTATTTCTTCCACATGCACCCTAATTTCATTTCATAGTTTTTCTCTGGGCACCATCTGTTGTGGTGGAGGGGCATTTCAATGGTAGCTCCTCCTATTCCAAAACGGCTTTCCAGGAAGATGTGCCTACCAGCCAGCAGTACAATATTTTCTTCCAAGGCTTTTAATATCTGTTAATTTCAAAGGTACATGTAGATCTTGACTTACCACCATTTGTTTCTTGATTGTTTGAAGTTACAACTCTGAGAAAAGTGATTTATGACTGATTTTCATACTAACCACCATTGCAGCATCCTCATGGTCATGTGATTAAACTTTGAGTGCTTGGCAACCAGCATCTATTTATGACAGTTACACTGTCCCAGGATCATGTGATCACATATGTAATCTTCTCAGCCAGCTTCCAACAAGCAAAGTCAATAGAGGAAGTCAATTCGCTGAATGACATGATTCACTTAACAACTGCAGGGATTCACTTAGCAACCGTGGCAAAAAAAGGTTGTAAAATCAGGCACTACTCACTTAACTACCGCCTTGCTTAGCAACAGAAATTTTGGGCTCAATTGTTGTCATAAGTCGAGAATTAACTTTATATACATACAAATTTTACAGAACTACTTACAAAACTACCCTGGTTGCCGCTATTATTGTCTATTGTAAATTTCTTTGATTACCATTGTAAAGGCAGACTTCAAATCTGTCATTTGCAGCTGGCTAGTGGAAAGGACAGGTGAAACTGCCAGAGTTAAACATCCATCTATATTTTTCAGACATGGTCTTTCACATCTTTAGAAAAGGCAGTTTTACCCCAGTACCTCTGGGGAAATTGAGCAAGAAGTGGTGTGGTGCAATGGAGAAGAAAGCCACCACTATGCTCCTCCAGAATGAAACAGGAAAATGAATCCTGGAAAAGACAATTTCCAATGAACAGCATGGCAACCAAGGGATCAGACCAAGTGCCTCCAGCTTTCTTTCTTGTTTTTTTTTTGGGGGGGGGGGGAGGGGGGATGCCAGGCCCACATTCAGTCCATGGAAAAACTTGGGCATGAAGCCAACTGACATGGAAGGACACGTCAGAGGCCACATACAGCCCGGAAGAAGGAAGAGTGGGAACTTGCCTATGCATTGGAGAAGGGGGTCAGGATTCCGTGTACCCTTTTCAAGCATGCACTTTGGGAAGGGAATCAGAATCAGAATACAGCAGGAAGGGAACTTGGAGGTCTTCTAGTCCAACCCCGCCCCTGCTCAAGCAGGAGACCCTATGCCATTTCAGACAAGTGGCTGTCCAGTCTCTCCTTAAAAGCCTCCAGTGATGAAGCACCTACACCTTCTGAAGGCAAGCCATTCCACTGGTTAACTGTCCTCTCTGTTAGGCAGTTTCTCCTTAATGCCAGGTTGCTTCTGTCCTTCCTTAGTTTTCATCCATTGTTTCCCACCAAACTCATAACCAAGTTCAGAGTTGATGGCAACCTTCCTTTCCATCCTCCCCTTTCTGGGCAAAGGAAGGGTCGGAGGGGGGGGGGAGCGCACCCAAAAAGGACGAAGCGCACACTAGAAGGACACCATCGACGTCACCCC